ATAGCACAAAAAAATTGTGATTTTGAATGTAAGAAATGTAGATCAACATAAATTTAAACATTCAAGAAAAAAAAAGAAATCACAAGATATTATAAAAGATTAAAAAAATACCTATTTTTGCTATAATTTTTCAAAATTTGAAAAATCTTAAAAAAAAATTAACAATTCACACTTGTTTCTCGCAAAACTTTGCAAATCTAGCACTCTAGGAATGAAGTTTGGAGTTTGAGTCATTTGGGGGTGAAAGAATGCTTATTTCGGGGAAAAGAAGCTTGCTTTCCCCCTTTAATTTTTTTTTAGTTTTTGGCCATATCTTTTTCGTCAACACGCTATCGATACGCCCCGATACACCCTTGATACACCCCTAATACACATAAAAAAAAAAGACAAAACGCCCGATTTCCATGCATATCATGTATTGGTTTTTAAAATATACGATACGATACGGCTTGTATTGGATGTATTGGTTGTTAAAGTTCAGATTGTGAAAATGGGAAGATGATTATGAATCCTACCAACGTTCGTTCTCTTTCCATTCATAATATACTTCATTGATGTAAAATTACGGTTCCTTGTATCCATGACATTGATTTAACGGATTCCATATATATGTTACAGCCCCGTTCACTTTTCGATAAGTTATTTACCCAAGTAAATGCAATTACTTGGGAAACACTTACCCAAGTAAGTGCATTTACTCATATTCTTTTATTTCCTAAGTAAATAAGGTAATGACCATTTTAGCCATAAAAATCTATCATTAAAAGGGCCATTTTGTCCCATTCAAGTGTTAGCAATTTTCTCCCTATGTGGAAAATACCCACCTAGGAGATGGATGGTAAGTGATACCCCGGAAAATAAACTTTCCCTAGTCCTCACATAAATCTAAAAAATGAACATGGGATTCTTGGTCAATGGGAACCAAAATCCCATTGACCAACTTTCCCCCTCTCAAAATCCAAAAAAAAGAACACCCCCTACGTGTTTCCTTAGACATTTGTTGATCTCTGACATGGCACATGACCTAATGAAATAGGTTGGTTAGGAAAGAGTGGGTGTTAAACTGGCAAAATGAGAGTAATGGGAAGGGGGGAGAGAGACTTAGGCTGTGTTTGGTTTGAAGGAAAAAGTAGGAAAAGGAAGGGAAAGGCAAGAAAACCTATACAAAGTTTGTAAAAGTTTCCTTGCATTTCCCTTCTTTTCCCTACCTTTAAACCAAACATACAAAGAAAGAGCAGCATGGGGTTTGGAACATGGGGCTTTATATATAAAATAGGTGGGTATGCGTTGTAAATGCCTTATTTATAACGAGTCCGAATTGGGTGAAGGCAAAATCATAGATATTGGGCTGAGTTCAGATGTGTGCCCCACAACGTCCCACAGGACATCCCGTCATGTATTGAGAAATGATGACGTGCTGTGGGAAGCGTCCCCTTTGGGGTGCAGATGTGAAATCTGATGGGCTGGGCACTCTAAACCTGAATGCATAAAATATGGGTGCTACACCAGTCCCATTCGGAGGGTATTTATGTCATTGCAAAAATTAACAGACGGGTCATACCAGAAATGAAACTAATTCTCTAATCTGGAGACTTCTTAGGTGATCAACCCCCCATCCGAAAGACAGCGTGTGAAGAATTCAGGTCAGGCTCTCTTTAAAGTAAAATAAGATTCCTAAATTATCCACTCTATCTTGGAAAACTACTAAATTGCCCTTTTATCCATTACGTGTATGGTCAGTTCTACACGTTTAAACACCAAGCGCCAGCATATCTGACAAGGAAATGGTACTCTCGTAATTTTGTGAAAATAAAGGGTTTAACGATTGCAAGGGTATTCGTCATGCCGGAATTCGTACAGTATTAAACACGTTATCTTTAGTTAAATGTGGAGTATGGGCCATGGGGTTAAAACTTAAAAAGTTAAAAGTAGTTGATTAGATATTTCAAATTTACAGTATTAAACACGTTATCTTTAGTTCTTTGCCTTCTCCGGCAACCAGATTGAAGTAGAGATCAACAATGTTGGGGGCAGTTGTCGTAACACCGAGAAGAGCAAAGCTTCTGTATGAAGGAACAGGACAATGATTCGGAACAATATACAACAAGACCCTGGTGCAGAGAAGGGGGATCCTTCACGCCAACCAGCAACTGATGACTGGTGATGGAACCAGATGGTGGGTTCATGCCTGCACAGCCGATAGCGCCTTGTTCCGCCGGGACTTTGCCATGGCGATGACATAATTCGGAAGACTAGCATTGTTGGTATTGTGAATGGCACAGATTTCAGGAAGAAGGCGATGAGTTTAAAGTTTAAACCCCCTCTCCCAATCATAGACAAATATGGGTCCGTTTGATTTGTGGTTGAAATCGGAATGGAAATCCCTTGGAATTAGAATGGTTACAGCAATTTCGATTGATGCTACTTGGTTCATGAAGAGGTTGGAACTGGAATCAATCATGATTTTCAATTTTATCCCTAATAAAAAAAATAGAAAATACATGAAAATACAAAAAATGTAGAAATTTTACAGAAAAATATAAAAACTATAATAATTTTATAAAAAATGCATGAAAATACTCAAAGTTAGCAGAAATTATAAAAAAATATATAGAAAATTTGTAGAGAAAATGCAGAAATTACAACAATTTCTATTATCTTTGTTTTTTCTAATCTTTTAAAAGTGGGTGAAACGAGAGAACAGAGGCCTGGGGAAGCTCGGGATGCATGTATAAGACCAGACATAGGGATTTGGGTGGGGCAATATCACTAAAAAAGAAGAAAGGGGGAGTAAAAACCCACAAGAATCAGAAGGGTTTAGAGAGAGAGAGAGAGCATTGAGTAGCCTTCTTAGAACAGCGAGCTTTTCTTCGTACACACATTGACACATAAAGCACGCTCAACGTACACAGCTTCTCTCTCTGGTATACGTTTCTTCTAATACCTGTGCTGCATTGCATCTGTTTGGAATGGGAAGGAAGATGACACAGACAGCAAGAAAATCTCGAATAGATGAGTTGCAGTTGCAGAGGGAGCAGATCAGAAGCAGAAGAAAAAGCTCGAGCAAGCGACGCAGACAGCAAGAAAAGTTCGAACAGATGAGTTGTAGTTGCAGAGGGAGCAAATCAGAAGTAGAAGCAAAAGCTCGAGCAGACGACACAGATAGCAAGAAGAGTGGTAGCTGATTTGGAGGAAGGAGGAGGAGGAGAAAGATGGTTGGCAGTGGTTTTACCTCACCGGAGATGGGGTTGACAGCGGCAACGACAACGAATAGTATGGAGGTTGAAGGGATTATTCCTTTTCACAACAACTCAATCGTAGGTTGGATTGGAGGGGTTTTTTGTCCAAAAAGAAAAAAAAAAACTAAATAGCGGAATGGGAATTGCATTGCGGAGGAGGGGATTAGGAATGGGAATGGCATTCCGCCTACTCATTCCCATTCCGATCGACCAAACATCCGGAAACGGAATGACCCATTCCTATTTCGATTCCAGGGTCCTATTCCCTCGAAGCAAACAGATCTTATATCAATGTTAAATATGATGCTACAACTGTAAGGAACTTTCAAACCACCCCCTCTCCCATTTATTTGACAGTTACGTTTCAAACCACCCCCTCTCCCTTTAAAGGAATAACCTTTTAAATGCCCTAATGAAAAGTAATGGGTCCAGATGTATTAAGCATCTTAGTTAAGCACAATGAGTGAATATGTAATAGTTGTGTGACATATATTTCAGTTAATGGGCCTTTTATCTAAATTTTTTTATTCTCATAGATCAAAATTGTCTATTATTTTATTGTTTTAGATGAAAATCACATTAACTAAAACATGTGTCATATAACTATTATATGCTCATTCATTGTGATTACTAAACGTGCCTACTACATCCCGACTCTGAAGGGATTTTTCGGTGATTAGGTTTTTTGAGAGAATGACAGAAAAGAGAAAATAAAGAAAGGTTAGTAGGTATTTTGATAATTTGATGCTTTTCGTCACTGAATTAACGAGAAAGGGGTTTTTGTCTAACGGCAAAAATGCAGGGTATTTTTTTTGTAATGTAACCCAAAAATATATTCCAGCCGAGGAGAAGGAAAAGAAATATATAGGCAACTAGAGTGAGCCCGTTTTCACAAAAAAAAAATAAATAAATAAATAGATAGGGTGAGCCCCGATCTCCTAAAGGAAAAACTCCGAGTATCCGATGACATGAAATCCAACCGCACATCAGTAATATGATTTTCTTCTTCACACTTTTTTTATTTTAAAACTAATAATAAATTAAAAATTCGCACTGTCTGATATGATCATGAGAAGTCCAGTGCAAGCAACCATACAGAGTGGTAGCAAGTAATTATCCCGATTCTCTCTCTCACCCTCGGCGGCTCTGCAACTCTGTATCTGTGTGTATAAAACACTGTCGAATAAACTTAGAATTCTCAAAATATCTGTGAATTAGCTGTCTCAATGCCGGGTCTGGTTTCGGTAAAAACCCCACAGGACTCTCCATCGCTTCGAGTTCTCGTTCCCGACGGCGACCCCCAGGTTCAGAACCATGACATGGGATCCGAGACCCCAAACCCCAAGACCAAATCGCCGATCCCGAAGAGAGCCCCATCTCCATCTCCATCCACTTCACGGGGAAGACCCTCGCCACCGGACCGGAGCTCTGGCAAGAAAAAAACGCCAGAGAAGCCGAAACTCGACGAATCATCCCTCGACAATCCTGATCTCGGGCCCTTTCTTCTGAAACTCGCCCGTGACACGATCGCGTCCGGAGACAGCGCAAACAAGGCGTTGGACTTCGCGATCCGAGCTTCAAAATCCTTCGAGCGATGCGCAGGAGAGGGCGAACCGAGATTGGAGTTGGCCATGAGTTTGCACGTTGTTGCTGCGATTTACTGCAGTTTAGGACAATTTGAGGAGGCGATCCCGGTGCTTGAGCGGGCAATAGCGGTCCCGGATGTTGCGAGAGGATCGGATCATGCGCTCGCGGCGTTTTCGGGGTATATGCAGCTCGGCGATACGCATTCGATGCTGGGGCAGCTCGATCGCTCCATTGCTTGTTACAGTGCAGGGTTGAAGATCCAAATTGAAACCTTAGGAGAGTCAGATCCGCGAGTTGCAGAGACTTGTAGGTAAAGTGTCATTCACCGCAGTATTTCCTTTTACTCTTGGTGCACGTTAGCACACTCTACTTCTACTGGAAAGTGGAAACGATCGACTGTTGCTCATCGTTTGATGGCTTCTCTTTTCTTGCTTACTGCCTTAGTTTTACATGTTGCATGCTCAAGTTAGGGCGGACCCTCCCTATTGGATAATTGGGTTCCCTTACCTTGTTTGTGTTTGCATGTGGCGTCTATTTGTGCAGTTGTTTTTGGGATGAATTTTAGAGGGAACTGTTGACCGAGGATTGCTTACACCACGATGTGGAGCATCCAGCCATCCACCATTCCACCGGAGGAGGGACTCGAAATGCCCCCGCCGGCAATATAGCGCATGCTAGTTATGACTCTCCTTAAAATTTAACGTGCGCCGTTTTATGGGAATTCACTCATTCACTACGAGCCACGTGATCCGATGCTTGTATGCCGGATGTGATCAGACCATCTCTGGAAGCACCTTTTTTTTGGCCTCGTGATGGAATCTTGCTCATATATAATATTTCTCTTTCTAAGATTGTGTTATATATCTCAGTGATCGCGTGGAAGAGTCCCACTGTCTGAGCATTATTATATGTAGGCCCTCTTGGAAGACCCATTGTTTTGGGATCTTTTGTTTCAATCAATGTCCTTGAAATTTGATAAAACTGATGAAGCCCAAGTCCAACCACATGTAGGCAGATGTAAACAAGATAAAAATGGCTAACACTTATAAGGACCCACCCTGTCACCACTCACTACTTCATCGTAAATTGCAATATTATAGCAAGGAGAGACGGAGCCAGTTAGCCTGCTGGTAAAGTCTCTAACTGATTGTGGCGGAGACCTGAATCAGTCCTGCCTTCACCCGAGTTGGGGGTCTATAAGAATTTGGGGGAGGTTACCCCTGATCTGAGCGTTTATAACCTATTACCCAAAAAAAAGGATTAAACTTCCAACTTCCAACTTACAAAGAGGGGCATATTACCATCAAGCCACAACACTTTGAGCTTTTTTTTCCTTTTATGCCTATTCTACGAAAAAACGTGATTTACAACACTCGAACATGAATCACTTGAATGAGGAAAAAATAACCATCAAACCACAGACGGATCAACCCAGTGGTTGAACCACTTTAACCACTTTACCCATGACGTCATGGTGGCCTTTCTTGGTTTGATGAGCAGTCTGAATCTTACAAAATTGATTCCATTAAATGGTAAGCAAAAAATGAAAAATTACTAATCTACCGACCACATTGAAGTAACATTGTTCTTCTATTATTCATAGATGTGTCTTTTAATGTACCCAAATACCCTTAAAAATGGTTGTTCTACAAATGAGGAAAATTACACTAACCTACTTATAAAGGACACATCGAAGTAACATTGTTGAATTGAGGACATATCAGTGTTAGCTATTGGTGCATTAAATGGGAATCATTATAAATGTTTAGCTCTACGTGACTATTAGACAACTTTAATATCTGGATGTTTTTGGGATAGGCAAATGGTATTAGTTGTAGAACTTTTTTTTTTTTTTTTTGAGGCAGGGGGAGAGAGATGGTTAGCATGTGATGGGTATTTTGTCACATTAAAAATTAAAATTGGATGAGATTATATCAAATGGATTAGTCTTACTATTTGAAAATGCTTATTTCTGATAATCTACACAAGTAAATCTACTTTCTTTTGGAAACTCTTTTTTTACAACAATGGGAATGCAAACTCTGCTGCAGGAGAAATAAGGTTATTTGATGAAAATAACAACAGCAATGATAATGGTAGAACATTTTTTTAGTGAACAATTGAACTGCATAAAATTTTGGTTTTTTGTTTGCCTTGGAAAATGAATCTCCATTGAAGGAGAACAGTGAATTTTTGCTCCATTTTCTGCCATTATGGTAGATTTTTTCATCTGTGGGGAAGTGCGCATCTAATCATTCTAAACCTGTTGATTCTTCACTTCCTTCCTATGTTTCCTTCGTCTGCCTCTGAATCTGAAAATAGCCTTAGCTTTTCTTGGTGCCTAGGTGGAAAGCTTCAATAAAGTGGGACGTAGAACCATAAAATGGTTAGTTAGGCCTTCTTATTCATATAATTCAATCTCTTATTAATAAGTATTGATCTTATGATTAACACAGTTTAATCACCTTGTGCTGTAAAGATCAAAAATCTTTGTTTTAACAAAGGTCTAGCATACACTGTCCAGCACTCCCCATATCACCTGAATGGCTACATTTTATTTTAGTTTCTAATTCAATTCACTTCTGATGTGAAGACCAGAAATTCGTATCACCAGGGAATTGATTTTGAAATTTGCAGGTACTTGGCTGAGGCCCATGTTCAAGCAATGCAATTTGATGAAGCAGAAAATTTATGCAAGAAGACCCTAGACATCCACCAAGAACACAGTGAGCCAGCATCACTTGAAGAAGCAGCTGACCGCAGGTTGATGGCCCTCGTCTGTGAGGCAAAGGGTGATTATGAATCTGCACTTGAGCACCTCGTTCTTGCCAGTATGGCAATGATTGCTAACGGTAATGACAACGAGGTTGCTGCTATCGATGTTAGCATCGGTGACATTTACATGTCCCTTAGCCGCTTTGATGAGGCTGTGTTCTCCTACCAGAAGGCCCTGACAGTTTTCAAATCCACCAAGGGTGACAACCACCCTTCAGTTGCTTCCGTCTTCGTCCGTCTGGCTGACCTCTACTACAAGACGGGCAAGATAAGGGAGTCCAAATCTTACTGTGAGAGTGCCCTGAGGATATACACAAAACCTGTGCCTGGAACCACAGCAGAGGAGATCTCTAGTGGGCTGACTGAAGTCTCAGCCATCTATGAAGCTGTTAATGAGCCTGACGAGGCATTAAAGCTCTTGCAGAAGGCAATGAACTTGTTAGAAGACACACCAGGGCAGCGAAGCACAATTGCTGGGATAGAAGCACAGATGGGTGTGATGTTTTACATGGTTGGAAGGCATGAAGAGGCTCGTAGCTCTTTTGAGAGTGCTGTGACCAAGCTTAGAGCCAGCGGAGAGAGGAAATCATCTTTTTTTGGGATTGTGTTGAACCAGATGGGACTGGCTTGTGTACAACTGTACAAGATAGATGAGGCAGCTGAGCTGTTTGAAGAAGCAAGAGGAATACTGGAGCAGGAGTGTGGCCCTTACCATCCAGATACCCTTGGTGTATATAGCAACCTTGCAGCAACATATGACGCCATGGGGAGGTAAGTATCTTTCTTTTAATGTTCTTCCGATTTCTTCCTTCAAGCATTCATTCTTCACTTCAAAAGAAAAGAAGCAATAAAAAAAGTGAAATAATAATTGTTTATCCATTTCCAAATTGCATTATGTGAGGGTTACCACAAAGATTTCTCTTTTGAGGTCATGTTTGAGCTGCTAAACAAGAAAAAGAAGCCTCCATTTGCTGAAACCTAACCTATGCAATGCATCCTTCATGTATCAGAACCAATTAGTGTCTATTAGGTATGGGCTTATACTTTACTTGTGAAATAGATGTCTTACCAATCAATTTGTGCAAGTAATGTTATGCACACTTGTAAGAGGTTGGGCTACATAAATCCTGTTTCGCCATTCCACTCTGATGAGTTACCGCTCACCTCGGAAGCCCCTTCGAGGGTGGCTTAACCTCCTGAAACAGAAGATGGGAGGGAAAGGTAGGAAGAAGATGACACAGAGAGAGAGATGAAAGGGGTATTCATTCACGCCACTTATTACATGATTAGGGCCTTATATTAGCTGGCCTACATGTATGCAATCATGAAGAGAATATCTTCTGGTGGCAATATAACTAACTCTGGGAGGCTCTGTCGCGTGTCACGCTAGCCTCTCTGTCTTCTAGTGAAATGTTGCTTGGTGGTGGCCTGCTCCACACCTATAGTTGGGTTCTAAGGGAATGTTTGGGTCCCAACAATTCCTCCCCCCTTAGCATTGACCTTGCCCTCAAGGTCTACCTTGGCTTCTGGCACAACCTGATCACCTCGTCGAACCCAACAAAAATCCACAATTCTGATAGGCTTCGTGTTAATGCCCCCTTCTTCAGTGAATTGGGGTAAGTTGGGTGAGACAGGTGTATGATTTCCCACCGCCTTCTTAAGAAGTGAGATGTGAAACACTGGATGAAGCTTTGAGGTTGCAAGGAGGTCCAACCGATAAGCAACAGGGCCCACTCTCTCCAGAACCTTATAAGGCCCATAATACCTGGGTGCTAACTTGTGCCAAGCCCGTCTTACCACTAAGATCTGGCGGTAAGGTTGGAGCTTAAGGTAAACGAAGTCACCCACCTGAAATTCTAACAAGCGGTGGTGAGTGTCATAGCGGACCTTCATTCGTTGTTGGGCTTTTGTCAAGTTGGACTTAAGCAATTTAAGAATCTTGTCTCTCGCAAGTAGACGGTCTCTACTTCTACCACCTTGGATGACCCATACTCATAAGGTAATATGGGAGGAGGTTCTCTGCCATAAAGAGCCTTGAAGGGTGTCATTCCAGTAGCCGATTGATAAGTCGAATTGTATCAATATTCTGCCCACGGAAGCCAATGAGCCCACTGTCAGGGCTTTTCCCTTATGAAACATCTAAGGTAGGCTTCCAAGCAACGATTAAGAACTTCAGTCTGCCCATCAGCCTGCAGGTGATAACTCGTGCAGGGGTGCAGTTGGGTTCCTTGCAACTGAAAATATTCCTTCCAGAATGAACTCAGGAAAGCAGGGTCCTGATCTGAGACAATGGATCTTGGGGTTCCATGCAGCTTCGCGACGTCCCGGATGAAGATGTCACCCACCATCGCTGTGGTGTAAGGTTGAGGTAATGTAGAGAAATGGTTGTACTTGGTGAGATGGTCAACCACTACCATGATAACCTCCTTTCCTACAGAACGAGGAAGACCCGTGATGAAGTCCATGGAAGGGTCTTCCCACACTTGATCTGGAATCTTGAGAGGTTGTAGAAGGCCAGTGGGAGACTGTAACGAGTATTTCTGCTGTTGGTAGGTTTGGCATTCGGATACATATTGTAATACATCCTTACGCATTCCTACCTAGTGATAATGGCTGTTGAGCCGCTTTATGGTCTGTAGCACCCCTAAGTGCCCTCCCAAGGCGGAGTCATGAAACAACCTTAGTAGTTCAGCTTTGTGGGCCGAATTCTGGGCAACAACAAACCGACCCCTAAAGAAAAGATCAGGCCCCACAACTTGGTAACCAACAACTTGTGAAGGGTCTCGCCTCCACTTATCTCTAATGACATTCAACTACAGATCAGATCTAGCTTCTTGTCGTATAGCTTCAAACAAAGGGAAGCTGGGCTGAGAGCAGGTCAAATAGGCTAACTCTTCTACTTGTGACAAGGCATCAGCTACTTTGTTTGCGGGCCCCGGCTTATATTCTATGAGGTAGTCAAAGCCCATCAGTTTACTAAGCCATTTTTGCTGCTCTGGGGTGTGCACCCTTTGCTCTGCTATATACTTCAAACTTCCTTGGTCTGACCTAATAACAAATTGGCGTCCCAATAGGTATGCACACCACTTTTGCACTGCCATTACCACAACCATCATTTCTTTGACATAAGTGGACTGACTTTGGTGAGCTACTGAGAGAGCCTTGATGAAATAAGCAATGGTTTGCCCTTTCTACATCAAGACGGCCCCTACTCCTACACCCAATACATCACATTCTATTTCAAAGGGCTGAGAGAAGTCTGGAAGAGTGAGGACTGGAGGAATGGAAACTGCTATCTTCAAGTCTTCAAAAGCCCGTTGGGCTTCATCAGTCCAACTGAGGGAATCCTTCTTTAATAGACGCGTTAGTGGGGCATCCATAAGCCCATACCCCTTAATGAAGCACCTATAATATCTGGTAAGCCCAGGAAAGCCCCACAGAGCTTTTACAGTAGTGGGCTTGGGCCACTTCTAAATGGCGTCTACCTTTTCTGGGTCTGCCATGACACAACCTGCTGCAACCACATGGTCTAGGTACTGAATTTATCCTTGTCCAAAGGAACACTTTGTCATTTTGGCATGTAACTGGTGCCCTTTCAGAGTTATGAGGGTGAGTTTAAGATGTTCCATATGTGTGTCCCAATCCCTACTGTACACCAGAATATCATCGAAAAAAACCAGAATAAATTGCCTTAGAAATGGCCTGAAGATGTCATTCATGAGGGCTTGAAAGGTGGAGGGGGCGTTTGTGAGTCCAAAAGGCATAACCAAGAACTCATAATGGCCATCATGGGTCCTAAAGGCCATCTTGTGGATGTCAGCTTGGTGGACCCGAATTTGATGATACCCGGACCGTAGGTCTAATTTGGAGAACACTCGTGCCTCTCCTAACTCATCCAGTAGTTCGTCAATGAGGGGTATAGGAAACTTGTCCTTCACAGTAATCTGGTTTAAGGCCCGGTAATCTACGCAAAAGCGCCAACTACCATCCTTCTTCTTTACTAAGAGTACAGGAGATGAAAAAGGGCTGGTGCTAGTCTGTATATGCCCTTTTTCCAATAGTTCTCTCACTGCCTTCTCAATTTCCAGCTTCTGAAAGTAAGGGTATCTATATGGCCTCACATTGGCCGGATTAGAACCGGGTAAGAGAGGTATCTGATGATAACGAGCCCGGGGTGGAGGTAATTGGTTCGGCTCCTTGAATACATCGCCAAACTGATCGAGTATCAACTGTAAGGCCCTGTGTTGGGTTTCAGTGGGGTGAACACGGCCTTGGTTGTCCAGAATTGGGACTATGGGCCGAATGCCTAAGTGCATAAATATGGGTTGGCCAGCATCCTTGGAGGCCCGTATCATGGAGGCTAAAGTGTCACTTTGTGGACTAGGGGGCCGCAACCCTTGTAAATGACAAGATTGGCCATCCTGGTGAAAATCCATTGTCATTTTGGCCCAATCACATAGAGAAGGGCCCAGGCCATGCAACCAATGAACCCCCAAAATAATATCAGCCCCCGAGAAATCCAATGGGTGGAGATCCACCACAAAATTATGGCCTTGTATGAGGATTTTCTCCTTCTTACATACAACATTACACAACATTTGACTCCCATTAGCCACATGGATTGAAAAGAGAGGAGTGGGTTGTATGGTCATACCTAGCTGCTTAGCCAATCGGCAAGTGATGAAATTCAAGGTAGAGCCACTATCAATCAAAATCATCACGGTCCGGCCCATTAATCTTCCTTCTACGTGCATGGGCTGAAGAGAGTTGAGGCCCATGAGGGCATGTAAGGAGATCTCGGCCCCATCAGGTTCTGGCCCGTCTGGAATCAGTTCACAGTCAGTCAAGTGCTCTGTGTTTGTCTCTTCCGGCTCTTCCTCTGTCTGTAGGAGAAACACCCGCTGGACCCGGCATTTATGGCTCGGTCCAAACTTATTATCACAGTTATAAGAAAGGCCTTTCTCGCATCGGGCTTGCATCTCAGCCCATGAGAGATGTTTGAAAGGCATAGCAGGCCGGGGCAATATGGGTTTCTGATGATCACCAGCCGGTTCCACTGCAGCCATGATAGTCGCCGGACGGAGAACCTCACCTCCAGACGGATATCCTCTCTGAGACCTCCCACAAAACATCCTATTAAGGCTTTCTCCGGCCAGCCGTGTACCCTGGTCGCCATCCGCTTGAAATCGAGCTGGTACTCTGCTACCGTTCAAGTCTGCTTCAACCGGAATAATCAGCTCGTCGTAGTCCATGAACGTCGTCGGCCCAAAGCAGATGCACAAAGCTTCGGTGAACTCCACCCAAGTTACCTGGGGATGATTCCAGCAATACCATTGGAGCCATAGAATCATGTCTCCTTCTAGATGAATGGAGGCGATGGAGACACGCTGGTGTGCGGGAGTTTCGTGGTATTCAAAATATATTTCTGCTCGGAAGATCCAAGGAATGGGATATCCACCGGAATAGTTGGGAAAGTTGATCTTAGTGACTTTTCCGGTGGGGTAATCCCCTGTTCTTTGGCTACTGGAAGCAGAGGCTTCTACTCCTGCTAGGTGACTGGTCACGCTAGACTGTTGCTGAGAGACAAAGCTGGAGATATCGAACTTGAGCCACATCAGGAAGGTGGGTGGGGGGGATCTGGCAACACTGAAATTTGTCCACGCAATGTGTTCTTTCTCCTCACCTTGATTTCTTTGCTATTTTTCACTCTTTACAATAGCTGTCATATTCATTGTTATATTATAGGGCCTCAAACCATTTTTATTACTTCAATTAGTGTTTGTCATGCCCTGATCCTAGCTCTTTTGAACCTATCAGCTTGCAAAAGATCACTTATTAGTGTTGTAGATGGTGTCCTCTGCACAAGAAATGTTCTACATACTCTTGTATTAAATATGGTGATATCCTTTCTATTTACTGATAAAAAAATTGATTTTATTTGGAAGTTGGCATTTACTTGTTAGTTACTGTTGCATGTCAGTTGTAAGTTGTTGGCATCAATGTTGAAGCAGCTTCAAGTTTTCATGGGGGGTTCCTCTGGGTCCAGAACTTTTTATTACAACCCTGCTGCTTCTGTTGGTTCTCTCCCATGAAATATTCTGAGGACTGTAACCCTGTATCTTATTTGCAAGCTTCAGCCTCCTTGGATAACTTATCCAGAGCACCTCGAAAGCAGCTGAACCAGCTTAGCTGAATGTTCATCTCAGCCCTCACAAAAGAGCACTTAAAGTAATTGGCATTTGTTTCAGGAGTTTGTTGGTTGAAATTGGAATCTATTAAAGGGCGATCTGATCCCCTAAGTTATGGTTGGTCCATAAATGGGGTCGTTGTAATTGAATTAAAGATAATGAATGAATGAAACAAGAGTTTATTTTGAAGTTTGGTTATAAGTATCTTCTTTCTCTTCTTCTAAAGGTGTTATCTTTCCTCTCTTCCTCTTATTTATTCAGATCTGAATCTCCTTTTCTCATTACTCAGGTCCTTAGTTCTCCCTTATCTTCTCACCAAGTTCAATACTCAAGTAGGATTTTTCTCTTTCCCATCCTACATCAAACAACCATAGTTCATTAAGTTTTTCATATCTTCATTTAATAGCCGACCTCATATGGTTGGGATAAGACTTAGATGATGATGATGGTGATGATATCTTGCTTTAATCTAAAGCAAACTTTAAGGCTATGTTTGGTTTGAAGGAAAAGGTAGGGAAAGGAAGGGAAAGACGGGAAAACCTATACAATGTTTGTAAAGGTTTCCCTACTTTTCCCTTCCTTTCCCTGCATTTTCCTTCAAACCAAACATAACCTAAGGGAAAAACACTTCAAAAAATAGATTCAGCTTCAAGTATAAATTATAAACAAGTTAATCTGCAGACATGAGATGAACAAATGATAACACCTTGTAGAAGGTTTGTCAACTTGACCAGGTAAGGGATTGAAATCTTTCTAATGCTTTCAAAATGAATTGAAGCTTTTAATCTCTTTAAGTGTGCCTCGAGTTTGTTACCGAGATTTCAGTTGGCTTTTTCATAGGGGTATTTTGCAAGTTTTTTATGTCACCAGGGAAGTGTTATAGATGCTATGGAACCCTACTGCAAGACAGAAAGGATGTTCAAGGAAGGAATCTGAATGATCATATGCAAGTTTTTTAAGTGTGTCATCATTTTTTTTTTCACTTTTCATTTTAATGCTTCAAAGGAAGGATGTTCAAGGAAGGAATCTGAATCATATCCTGAAGTTTAACTGACATAATATAGACATATACATTGGGTTAGTCTTTAACTTGTTTGCTGAAGGCTGGGTTATAGATACTTTTTGGGTATTTCCATTTTGTTTGCTGAGGTTCTGAATGCTGAGGCTTGTTGATGTAGCTCACTGTGTAGGTATGCCCTTATGTATTTAAATGCTTGAGAAGTGAATACTGCTAAAACCAAATAACTTTTCTGTTGGAGTTTGGATCAGCTCAGCTCCGTTAATCTTTCATGTGGTTTTATTACAGGGTAGAAGATGCAATTGAGGTTCTGGAATACATTCTTAAGGCAAGAGAAGAAAAACTTGGGACAGCAAACCCTGATGTTGAGGATGAGAAGAAAAGGCTAGCGGAACTCCTGAAAGAAGCAGGCAGGTCCAGGAACCGAAAAGCAAAATCACTCGTTAACCTCTTTGATACCACCTCCCAGAGGATGAGGAAAGAGGTAACAAGGAGGTGGTCTGGCTTAGGCTTCAAAAGTTGACGAGGAATTTGTTTATAAGTCTACGCATACATGTCGCTCTCTGTAATATAGAAGAAGAATATGTAAAGGGTCAACTTGTGAATTGATGGCTTGTTTCTTGAGCTTCTAATCTGCATTTGTTTAATTTTCCAATTGTTCTTTAAATATTTGCATTGTGATTATTGTAAGTGTTCACTACACAAAAGAAGTCATGATAAGTCGACTGAATAAATCTTTACGAATTAAGATTGTTTCTTTACATACTTATATATTTTCTTTTTTATCTAAAAGTGAATACATATTGCACATCTTATCAAAGAAAGGAAGAAAACATATTGCCTGTACCCTTGAGGCCATGTTCGTGATTCGTAAAGTGAAGGGGGAAGTTTGGTCGATGGGATTCACAGTAAGTTTAATTTTCTTGGGTTTCAGTTCCCTAGACACTCAGGTAAGTTGGTTTCCCGAGTGGAGGGTAAATAGATTAAAATCTCAAAATTGCCCCCCGCAACATATAAAGGTTGAGAGTGTCTCTTCAACATTTTTCCCAGAAATCACCTCTGTCGACTCTGCGTTTCTCCTCCACTCCATTCTGTTTCTCCAAAAATCACAGCTGTGTTTCTCCTCTTCTACTCCATCATCTTGCTGCCGTTGGTTCTCTCAATTGCTGCTCTGCTTGATCTAGTCATCGGTTCCATCATTGATTCTCCTCCATTGTTGCTGTTTCATCCTCCTCCACTCTGTTGCCGACACTACCGAGATTCTGCTTCTTCGCTTGTCATCGTTGCTCACTGTTTTTTTCTTTTAATTAATGTTATTGGATTGTTTCTATTTCAATCAGTGACTTTTGCACAAGCATATTGTTGATTATTCACATGTATTTTCTCTGGCTCTTTCCTCAAGAGCTCTTGCAGTTGGGAGCTGAACATGGATGTTTGTCTATATTAGAGATAGATAGTTGCAGCATAGATTTTTGGAAAATGCTTGATTGGCTAAATTAGGCCTGCCAAGCATCAATCAACGCAGAGCTGAACAAGTTATTGAACTTGTTACTTGGACAGATTATAGTTGAACAGGTTATTCAACCTATTATTTGGACAGGTTATGTGTCAATGAGAGAAAATGTTTAAAAAACATGAATTTGGGCCAAGGGGTAAAATTAAAAAGAGATGAAAAAAATAACAATTTACCTAAGAAAGTGAGTGTTGCAAAAAAATATGAGAAAATAAGAGATTTCATTTGCCTGGATAAATCAAACAAAAAAAATAACATAGGTAAATGCACTTATCTAGATAAACCTATTTTCGAAAAAAAAATGGCTTATGAGGGGTTTTCTTTTGATAAACATTTCGTGGTATGACTTCTGAATATGGCAATATGTGAAGTTCACATGCTTCCTCTCCCCCCCGCCCCCTCTTTCTCTCTGCTCCTATCATCTTCTCTTTGCCTCTTGAACGACAACGACCCTGAAGGATGAAGGGATGATAATATTTATGACATTTTGCAAAAACATTATAGTCCCTTGCAATGGTTTTTTTTTTTTGTTATTAGATTCTTGTATTTTTCATATCATGACGATTCTATCAAAAGGAAATGGCAGTATACATTATACCCTCATTTGCATGCACTTTTTAAAATCATAAGATAAAATGCTTTTGTCTTAAATTAAAAGTCAATTTTGGTTTTTATTCATTTATTTCCAATTTAATATTGTTTAAAAAGACATTTTTAGTCATGATTTTCTAATCAAAGATATCGACTATTGAGCTAAATGCTCAAGACCGATCAACCAATTTTGAAAATCCAAGCAATGTGCACTGGTTTCATGTATTTTATTTCATTGCTGGTATGGCAAATGAAGTATCAAATCATTCATGTTTCCAGGAACATGTTGTATTTTCTCTCGACTCTACCCAACAAAGTGTGGAACTGTGGATTAGTGCTCTCAATGGATGGTGAATGGTTCCAATCCAATTATGCCAGATATCATAAATAAATGGTAGGTAGATCAATGTATAATCATACTGAATTTCAAATTTGGACATTATCCTGAACTCTTATTTATTTTCTTTTTCTGAGATCAGTTGGCTGTACATTTAAGGAATCAAAAGAGTTCACCATTTGATTGTGTTATTGTGTCAAAAATCATTAATGTAGATGCCTGGACAATGAGAACTTAGGACAGGATTAACCTTTAGACAGCCAATTATAATCTTTTAGGCAAACGTAAAAAAAATCCACCAGCATATTTTATGTATGGCGTCTTATTGTAATACAGTTAGGCTGCAGTGGAAAAACACACCGTGTAAAAGTCAGTCGATGGAAAAATTCTCCGTGTAAACATTTATTGATTTAAAATTTTCTGAATCAATGGAGATTTTTGAAGTGAGAATCGATGTATTTCATCATTTACATAGATTTAAGATGAAAATGTCAAAATGAAAAGTTGTTTACATCGATTTTCAATATAAATCGATGTAAAATTTTACATCGATTCACTTTTATACAAAAAAACAAATGTATATAAATGCGAACCAATGATGAAGTTTTACATAAATTTACATTTACACCCCAATTAAATACAGCCTTAGAAAAATTGTTTTGCATTCCGATGAATTTCCCAATGGATGAAAGGAATCCCTTGTTAGGCAAGATGCATATACCATGTATATCAGAGACTGTGAAGTGTAATATGCATTTCAGTTATTCTACTCAGGTTTTACTAAATAAAAACATTGGGCCTCATAATATATATGTATAATCTTAACTGGTTTGAGTATTGATTAGACTTCAAGAGTTGCAAATCCAAGTTCAGTCAGACATTTTCGTTCCAAATTGATTTTCGATGTGCCAACAAAGGAATGTTCTACCAACTTGCCTGATGGGATCTGCTTGGGTCAATTGGTACAGCAAAATTTCTGCTACCATCCCAAATTTATCAACACCTGGACATTCTATGAACTCCCTGCTCTCCCCAAACGACAAGGTTACTGAATTTATTTTTATAAAAGAGAAGAAGAAATAGTAAAAATATCAGAACAGTTTCTTTTCCAAATAAGAGTGAATCTTCTAAACTTGTATTCGGTGTGTGACAGGATCCTTTACACGTGTACAGCATGGTTTTAATAAACGACTCAAAAATCAAATCCTTTGACCACTAGTTCCCTGGTTAAATGGTCCAATCATTCCATCTAAACCCCAGTCAAATGATTTTGGGATCCAAAATCGGCTCTGGAACCATGATGTATTCCCAAATCAACCGGTCCGACCGTCAGATGATAAACTTAATTGCCTAAACACCCCCCCCCCTCAATATCTAAAATTGTCAAATAAAATCATAAGGATTGACCATTTGAGCAATGAGCATGTCCTCATCAACGTCATTCTCTCAGCTTTGTTTAAGGGTTCAAAGTTCAAACTTGAATTATCGCTAAGAAAAGCTGAAATCTCTAAAAGAAATCTACTCATAACACAAAAAAAAAAGAAAAAAAAATAAAGAATTCTCTCACAATGCAAGGACAGAAAATGAAGAAACATGAAAATAACAAGCCTGCATTTGGGGAGAGAGACGTACGTGCTAGAGAAATCTCCAATCAACTAGGGTGGCGCACCGGAACAGCTCATTTTTCTGTGTCACCTGACCCAGCAGATCTGGACTCACGCATGGATGCACTCAAAATATGACAGCCATCGCAAAGTTTCAAATTTCGATACAATAATCTTTAAGGCTATGTTTGGTTTGAAGGAAAATGTAGGGAAAGGAAGGGAAATGGTGGAAACTAGATAGTACCGTCTTTTTTTCTATTGTATCAGACCTATGTTGTATCATATCGAGCTATATTGGAGGGTGCATTGAGCATATCGACCAATACGCTATGAAAAAGATACGGCCAAAAACTGAAAATTAAAAAATAAATAAATAGGGAAAACAAGTTTCTTTCCCCTAAAATAAGCATTTTTTCACCCTCAAATGATTCTAAACATGCAAACCTTATTCCTAAAGTGCTAAATATGCAAAAAAAAAAAAAAAAACAAGTGTGAATTGTTTTTTTTTTAAGATTTTTCAAATCTTGAAAAAATATGGCAAAAATAAGTAGGTTTTTTCAATTTTTATAATATCTTGTGATTTCTTTTTTTCTTGAATATTTAAATCTATGTTGATATACATTTCTTACATTCAAAATCATATATATATATATATATATATATTTTTTGTGTTATGAGTACAGTTATGGAAATTTCGTGAAGATATTTGGGGAAAATATAAATTAACAAAAATTTTGAAAATGTAATTTTTTCTCTACCTATAAAGACTTAATATGTTTTAGATCTATGGATTTATCTATCATATCCATAGATCAATTGAAATATATTATTTAATTATTTAAATTTTATATTTTTAGAATTAAAAAATAAGTAATAATTAATTATATTTTATCATTTGATCACAATGATTGAATATATTATAATTCTATGGATGATCTATCATATCCACAAAGCAATTGAAATTTCTTCTTTAATAATTATTTTTTTATTTTTTTATTTTTAGAATTAAAAGTAAATACTAATTAATTATATTTTATCATTTGATAACAATGATTGAATATATTATAATTCTATGGATGATCTATCATATCCATAAAACAATTNTAATTAATTATATTTTATCATTTGATAACAATGATTGAATATATTATAATTCTATGGATGATCTATCATATCCATAAAACAATTAAAATTTCTTCTTTAATAACTATTTTTTGAATATATTGTACAATGTTTATTTATTTTTTATTTTTTTATAATTTTTCAAAATAAATAAATAATAATTATTAATTATATTTTCACTTAGAAATTGTGTCAATGCATGTTTTATGGTTAGATAGGAGAGATGGGCTTTTCCTATCCCATAAAACTTAAAAATTATAATTTATAAATTATATTTAAGCATTGGTTTTTTAATGAAATTTTAATTAAATAAAATGCATTTCTTAATAAAACCATTAAAATATATTAATTTAATGTATATATGCCTCTTTGAGGTCTCATATTTAGTATTATTATTATATTTTTATGATTTATTTAAGTATTTATAATGTTTCCATGTATATCTTAATTTTTTTTCGATACGGATGTATATCCAAAACGTATCTTGATACATCTCTTAAAATTGACTTTCCGATACACTTAACGTTTCCGATACTTTGAACTTTGAGTCACCAACAGTGCGATTGTACTTAAAAGGCTCATCTATTTTGGCCTATCAATATTCAATACTATTCTTTATGGAAAAACTTTGGCTGTTTGGGTCAAACAGCGAACCTAGAGGGCCTAGACTATTTGGGAGCTTCCCACTTACCATGTACAATAAGGGTATGTGAGGCCACGGGCCATACCAGGTCCTCCCCGGGCTTGATCTGCCAATGAATAGGCAAGTGGTTTGGACCAAGTCTCGATCTGCTCCTCACAGAACACACCTCACACCAATCTCACAACATGTCCGGGCCGTACATCGGAAACATCTCCTGTATTTTTATTTATCATTAAGAGGTGGCTGTGAGGTCGGTGTCAGGCACCCTCAGTGAGGAGCAGATCCCAATTCGTTTGGACTTTGGATTGGAGATTGGAGTTAAAAATATTTCCCCGTCCAAAGATGAAGGATCAATTTATAACCAGTTAAAGCGTTAAAAGGGCAACCCAGAGCAAGAAGCTCCAATCAACAAGGGGTCTGGGGAGGATATATTATCCCTGTACATACAGAGAAACTGTTTTCAAGATTTAAACCCTGGGTCATCCAAGCAATGGAGCAACCCAACTGTTGTGTCAAGACCCACCCTCTATCAACTTATAACCAGTTAATGAATGATGGTTAAAAAAAGAGAAAGGATTTGCTTAAATAACTAGATAAAATATCAAGGAAAATGCCAAATATGAGCATTGAGCTTTACAATTCTGAAATTTCCCAGTATTTTTAGAGACTATTCTCTTTAAAGTGTATTGCTTCTACAAACTTACGTTTGTTCTTCTTTGAGGTAAGTGGGCCCAGGCTTGAAAGGATCCGTTTCCATGTATGCCTCTGGACGATAGAACCCGGCATCATTCATCCGATTACTGAGCACATGCAAGATGGCTTTCTTTCCTCCATATTCATCCCTGTTGTTCTCAACATACTCTTTGGCCTCTGCTGCCACCTCGTTTACAAAATCAAACCGGTTCTCTTCTGATAGTAATAGGGTCTCTATGTCCATAGTCAAGAGGTTTCCTGTTTGCTTAATCTTCCTAACCTGCTCTTCTAGAAAAGGTATTCTCTCAATTTTATACCGCAGCTTGTCATCCTTTTTTGTCTGAAAAAAAATGTGTTCATCCATCTTATCAATGTCAATTTTTTTTTCCAATAATTCTTCTAGAAATATCAATGGATATAATCTAAAAAGTTTAACCTAAAGTCATGCCTCATACAGGATTCATGTTCAAATGGGTTTGGCTAAAGGTTTTAATGCCAGTGACCAACCTGACAAGTGACACAACCCCTTATCAGCCTTAACGGTTTTAATGCCACAGGATTCATGTTCATATGAGTTTGACCATGCTCCTCGGGCATAGTTAACATTCACAATTTCAGCCTTGAAGTAACAAGATAACAATGTGGCCCTTTTTTTCTTTCTTTTTTTAAGAACGTGTAAAGTATTGTATTAAAATAATCAAACAAAAACCGCTATTACAACCAAACACAGTCAGGACTCAGGAGCTGTACATCCCAGTGCCCTTGTATGTTATCTCCTTTTCTGTCCCAAACAAATCCACTCGGCAAGCTCCATTTTATTTACAATCACAGCATATCATCATGATTCAGCCAAAAAGTTTGCCTTCTTTAGGATAAGACAGAAAACCAGATGTTAAGTTGCTAATTTATGTCTCTATTAAACAACAAAACCTAGTCTAAGGGAAAAAGAAAGAAAAAAATGGGGATATCGCTTAAGAATAGCTTTTGGTGAATATGTACATCAATGCAATTTTGATTGAAGATGATTTTCTTTCTTTTTAATGAATGTTACCATTGTTGGGGACTGTTGTATTGTAAGTACTGGTCCTGATATTGTAGGTAGGCCTTGAGTACAGGATAACAAGTTCCTCAGGTCACTTTTGGAAAAGAGGGTGTGGATTTGGGTCAGCAGTCATCTTAGTCCAAATGGGTGAGCCTCAAGTTCCAGTTTAGAGTATGTATCACCAACTGTATGAGAACTTCCAAGAGTAGGCGTTTATGCTACCAAGGTTTTCCAAGACTCGGAAATGGTCTTTGTGGAGCTGGGCCTTGCAAACACTACAAAGGGGTAAAATAAATTGAGTGAAGAATAAGAATGATGATCCTTTTTGACTTTAGTCAAAAGGCAAATTTAATAATGGCTCAATGAAAGAAAAATCTAGGGATTTTTGGACTGCAATCCCCCTCAGAAATCTTTTTTGCAGCCCCCTCCTAGTCTATTAGTAGCCCCCCCCCCCCCCATAAACCACATCCTGCCCGTGAATTTGGCATCAATCCACAGGCAGGATTCAATCCACCCCTATGAAATCCTAGCTCCACCTAGGGGTGGACTGAATCATAAAAACCCAAAAAGTCTAAAGGTAAGCATATTGATGGGAATAATAATTTTATGGATAAAGGAGTGATAGAATTAGCAGAATAGAATGGCAGGAAAATGAGATGTGAAGAAATGACTTTAAGAGATCATATGGGAAGCATGGGGCATAATTTGGAAGTTTAGGAGTAAACCAATGTCTAAAAGTGTAGAAGATGGTGAGATAATTGAAGGGGCAGTGCGAGATTGTAGCAGAAAAGTTGGAAATTGAAAGCAAGGAGTGAAGATTCAATTGGGGTGGGGATTTGGAGGCATCCGAAGAGACAACAGAGGGGAATGATGATCAGGAGGTGTGCACAGATGAGGTTAGCAAAACAAATAAGAGAGTGGAACTGAGTAAAGTGATTGATAGAGGGGTTGAGATACAAAAGACGTTGAGTGTATTTTAACATAGGGGAAGAGGAGGCAGCCAGAAGAATCTTTGAAAAGCTTGAGGAAAGAAAAAGGAAGAAAGCAGAGGAGGATAAACAGAATAGAACAGAGGTTAGCTGAGTCTGGTTAGGTAGGTCATAATACTAGAGGAGGGGAGGGAGAAACAAGAGGAAAACAGGGATGAATATGATGAGAAGCAGAAGACATCTGGTAGAAGCTGGTTGGCTGTTGGGATCTCTGGCAGTAGGTCTTTTTTTTCTTTTCGGGGGCTGGGGATTGGAATCGAGCTTAATGAATGAATTTATTTAAAACTAAAGAGGTGCATTGTTGAACTGGTAAGGGGAGGTATTTCTTTCCAGTGTCTTCAACCTGTCATAGTGTCATTGACCCGACCAGTCATACCTCTGACCTGGTGACAATTCTGGCTACCCGCTATATTGCAAAAAAAAATGTTGACTTGGTCAATGACCCATTGGCCCGAACAGTTGGACTTGGACCATTGACCCATTTGACCTGTTTAATGGATTACCATTGGGTTTTGAATTATTTTTATTGTTTCAAAATTTCTTTATTGGTATGACATCACGAGTTGACCCAATGACCCAAATGGTTGAACCACTAAGCCATTAATCCAAAGGGGAAAGTAGTTCAGCCTCCAAGCCATGTTTTAAAACATTACTTCTTCACAGGGGAGGGTTGATTTTTTTTTTTTCTTTTTGTCTTTCAATGATTTTTTATCACTTGTTTTCTTTTTTTTGCAACCAAAATTAATAATTTTTACATCTTCATGATGAGGTTTACTTTTCCTGGAGTTGTCTCCTCTGAATCGAGATCTGCTCCTCACAAAGCACACTTCACACAGACCTCACATCCCCACCCCACCATGTATTGGGAACATCTCCCCATGAATAACAACACAAAAGGCAGGAGATGTTACCAATACAGGGTGGGATTGGGCTGTGAGGTTGGCGTGAGGTGCGCACTGTGAAGAGAAGATCCAGACTCGTCTCCTCCAGGTTAACTATTCCTTTTACTATCATAAACTATACTCTCTAAGTTAGTAGACCGCACATAGTTGTGATAAGGCTTGGATGATGATGATGATAATAATAACAATGATCTTATACTCTCTAGCTAAGGCGCCAAATATCTTGCAGGTAAAGTCTTTGGCTGGTTGTAGGCAAGACCTGGGATCAAATCCCGCCTTCATCAGGGTTGGAGGGGCTTGGGGAACCAAGATCAAACACGACTATTGCTTCCCCAATTTCCCAAACATCAAAGAAACCTTCCAGCGGTGGTGGGGATGTATTAAGGCAAACTATCATCTAAACCGCTTAACTCTACCCTTGCACTCAACATACAGTACTCTTACACAGAATGTGGTCATAGAGGCGGTATTGGAGGGGTTTGGGAAACCAAGATCAAACACGATTATTGCTTCCCCAATTTCCCAAACATCAAAAAAGCCTTCCGGCGGTGGTGGGGATGTATTAAGGCAAACTATCATCTAAACCGCTTAACTCTACCCTTGCACTCAGCATACAGTACTCTTACACAGAATTTGGTCATAGAGGCGAAAACCGAAGCCCTAACGACTTAATTCAGATGGTGCCGAATCTGCAATGTCAAATACAACATTAGTGCACCGAAATGCATGCTCATCCTACCTCAGTGACTTCAACATTATTTTTAGTTTTGAGATTTATAATTATAATGAAATGATTGGAAATATAAATAGTTTTTAGCTATCACTTAATCTCAACGATTTCTATTCCCGATTTCGACATAAGTAGACTTCTCTACGATTGTTTTCTTTCATATCTTAATTCAAGTTAAGAAAGAATAGTGTTTCAAGACATACCTCTATTCAAAATGTAGCAATCAAAAGAAAAGATCCAGAAGCGGAAAGGGGGACACACAAACACCTCAGATTACACAAACATGGGAATAAGATAATTACCAGCTTTCTTCGCCTCCATACTCGTCTGCTGCTACTATTACTAGATGATTCCTGTAACTTATCAAGATACAGATCAGATATTCTATCAAATGGATACGAATAAATCAATAAGGATTTGGAATGACTAACCTGTGCTCTCACAGAACTACACAGACGCCATTGATTTTCTGCTTTAACTCCAATCTTCTGCTGCGATAAATGAAAATGACAATTAAAAATAAAAAGGAAAAAAAAATTAGGTAGAACTTGTCAGATGAACCAGAACAAAACTAGAAGTACTTACAGGAGGCGATAAAATGGACGGGCAGAGCAAGTGAAGACTAGTACATAGAGCCATGAGTATGGATAGGCTCTGAAAAAGGCGTTAATCGCGTTATCGCGTCTCTATTGCAAGGTTTATATTGTGCTTCTACTGATGTTTGGTTAAGTTGCTTCCGTTGAAAGTACCCGCTAAATTCGATGAAATTACTTAAAACGCCACTGCCGCTTTTCTCCTGTTCTACCCCCGCCTAACAGGCTTCAAATATAAACTGTGTCCGGCTGCCACATTCATTCTTATGAGCCCAGAAAAAAGGTAAATTATAAAACCCCCTGTAATATGGGTCAGTGACCATTAACCCCTGAACATTCATGTGTGACAAAAATATCTTGAACTTCCACTTTGTAATAAATACCCCTGGCCATTAATTTAGATTAGGAATGCATTAAATTATTAAAATATTTATCTAAACTTTCTTTATTTTCTTGGTAAATTACAAAGACCCCCTTTACAATAGGGTCAAGTGATAAAAACGTCCTTTACAATAGGATGACATAATGCATTAAATTACCAAAATACCCACATAAGCTTTTTTTTTTCTTGTCCATACCCTTTTCTCTTAAAACCGAATTAACAAAAAATACCTTCATTTTTTTCAAACGAAACCATCTAAATTAACAAGAATCATTTCATTGGCATAGAAAATAATGTTATTTTCAAATCTCACTTCATTTCACTCACATTAATGTTTATCTTCATCTTAAAATATAAAAATTATTCACTCCTTTCTCCATAATTCAAGAAAAAAATCAAATGAAACCATAAATTTATATCTATTACAAAGAAATCTATACCATTTCATTTGAAATATTGAATCCAACCATAAATCTGCAATGATTTATTGGAGCAACCAATAGGGTTTCAGTGTTGTATTTAGAATATTAATCAAATCATAAATCATTCAAATAATTAAGAAAAAGATAATTTGGGGATTTAAAAAATTTAAGCAGTTTAACGAGACTCTTTTTCAAAGTTAAACCGATAGAACTCTAATAGAGGGGTATTTGTCATAAAGTGAAAGTTCAAGGGATCTTTGTTGCAAATGGAAGTTGAGGGGGTATTTGTCACTAACCTCATAGTATAGGGGGTCTTTGTAATTTATCATTTTCTTTTTTTCTCGCCCTTTTCTCTTAATCCTAATTGACCCAAAAATATCTCCATTTTCTCCAAATGAAACCAACTAAAATAACAAGAATCGACATGAATGTCTCTCTTCATCTTAAAATATAAAAAATATCCACTACTTCCTCCAATAAACCAAGAATAAACAAACAAAACCTTAAATTTATATATATCAAAAATGAACCACTACCATTTCATTTGAATATTGAATCTAGCTAGAAATCTGCAATGATATAATAAAATAACCAAGAGGGCTTCTATAGTATATTTAGAAAACTAATTGAATCATAAATTGTTCAAATAAGTAAGAAAATAGTAGTTTGGGGATTTAAAAATTAAATAGTTGAGTGATAATCTTTTTTGAAGTTAATTGACAGAACTCTAGAGAAAAATGAGTTCTTTTTTGCAAATGAAAGTTCATGGGGTAATTGTCATTAAGCCCATAGTACAAGGAAATCTTTGTAATTTACCCCAAAAAATGTATTCGGTCATATGATGGGTCCCAGTTACTAGGGGTGAGCAAATGGGTAGGTTCTACATAGAACCGAATGGAACCGACCTCAAACCGTCCTTGAACCAACCCTACCCGATCTATTACTGGGTAGGGCTTGGTTCCAAATTCTTGGAATTGACCCCCACCCATATCGATTCCAGGGTCTAGGGGTTTTACCCTACCCAAATTGACCCGATTAACCGGCCTTGTTTGGCCTTGGAACCGAACTTGCTTTGAAATAAACCCCAAAATATTTTTAAGGATGTAAAGATTTGAGCCCAAGCACTCATAGTTGCAAAAGCCATGGTCTCACTTGATCATCAAGTTATTTAAGTGATTTCATCCGTTCTTTTCATTTTAATATTTGTATGTGTATAATAAATAATGTAAAAGGTAATGTTTACAAAATTTAAATCATAATGACAAATTTTTAACCATATATTAGTATACCATGATATTCTACATATTAAATTACTCAATTTAATCAATAAAGATAATACAAGTTTTAAACTATATATTATCATGATTGAAAATCAAGTTTTTGAGGGACATGTTTCTTATTTTTTTCTTGAAGGGAGAGAGTAAAGAAAGAACACATTCCACGGGTAGACCCTAGAACTGACCCCATAACTGACCTTCATAGAGAAGGTTTTGGTTCGAAAAACATGGAACTGATCCCTATAGGGTAGGTTCTAGGTTCTTCCATGGAACTGGATCGAATCGACCCATGCTCGCCCTTACCGATCACATGGTGAGGTGAGATGTGTGGATATAGATCATGTAGAAGTGTGTTAGTAACACGTTTTATTGGCAGGACATCTGGACTCCCCCAATCCAGCCCTATTCATTTTTATTATTATTATTTTGGAGAGGGAAGGCTAGTAACCAACATACCCACATTCCTTTTTAGGGTTCATATGGGATCCATGGTAAAATTGTTTTTCCCTGGATATCACTTGTACTTGAGTAAGTGATACCCATCTCCTAGCCCTATGTTGGTATAACTTTCCCATTTGGGGTGAAAGTTGATGGGACAAAGCCTTTCCCTACATTTTCCTTCAAACCAAACATAGCCTTGTGTTAGAAGCATGTTGGGACAATTTTTTTGGGGGGAGATCCCAATTCATTGGAAAACATCTTTTGTCATCCAATGCAAACATCAGATCTCTACTGTGTGGCATTATGTATGCTATGGTATGGTGTGTTCCAAAACTCCTCACCTTAAAAAAAAAAAGAAAAAAAAAAGATTTCTATTGTGTATTGTATATGAAAAAAGCATTGAAGCATCAACAATTGTGGTGTGGTGTGTCATGGAATATGAGAAGTAAGTGTGCTCCAAAATCTCTGTGATATTTTTTGTATCTTGGAGTCAAGCTATTCTAAAACACACCATGGGTTGAAAGAATATATTTTCATTATGGTGCATTCTGCAACCGTTAAAACAAAATTCCGCAATGGTACCAAACTACGTTTTCATCTATCATCCCAGGGTCGTTTTATAACAGCGGAAGATGTTGAGCTGAAAAAGCTTATTGGTTTTCCTTTTAGTGAATAAGCTTATTGTGGACTCCTTAAGGTTAAGAACTGAAATTGGGTAGATCAATATACCCTTGAAAGTTGTATTGTTTATTTATTTTATCATCTAAAAGACAACACAATAAGTCTTTCAGTCCAACAACTTTAGTCGTTACCAAACAACCCCCTAGAGGTTGAACTGGTGAACTGTTTAATCTAATCAATAGATCATGGATTAAGTATTGGTTATATTTCTTATATGTCTTTAACAATCTTCATCTAAAATTCTTATTTTTCTTCCAATTTGTTATTCACTTTGAGTTTTTGTCTTTTTGACTTCTTATTTGGTTAAGTGTTTTTTTTTGTTTTTTTGTTAGATTTCTTATTTTTTCAAATAGTTCCTAAAGAAAAGTTAAATATTTTAGTTTTACTTAGCAAATAAATAAAAAAAAAACCAATCTGGCCTGATTCGGCCCATGCCCAAGGCCCGACCTATGAACCAACCCAGACCCACGAAACGGCCTGCAGCCTGCCCGACCAAGGTCCATAACACAGTATGGACCGTCGGCTTAAGCCATGGGACATGCAGGGCCGACCCCAAATTATCCCTGAGGAGGGCGACGCGGCCCAGGACGGCCTGCGCTTTGAGCGGGCAGAGCCGTGGGCCCGTTTTGCCGCTGCCCCGAACAGGCACTCAACAATCAACACTTGAACAGGCACTCAACATTTCAACAATCAACACGAACAAAGCGAGCGAGCATTGGAATTGGATGGATGGCTTATGGGTAATTGCCAATTGGGTAATGGGGTATTATTATACGTCTTGTCCTTTTGTGATGTTATAGAGGCAAAGTAGACTTCGCCCACTCGCAACTGGGGGTTGGGCTTGGGGCAAGCAACAAAGCAAAACCCATCTCTGGGTCTCAACTCTCAAGCTCTGCAATTCTTGGAGAAGGAGAGATATTCCCATCTTTCAACAAGCACTTCAAATGAGCTGCTAGATACAGAGACCAGAGCCCCAGCAGCTCCCAGCTGCTCGGATTCCGCCGGAACACTCTGCTGGAAGAGTACAGTTATCAGGAACTAGGGATGAAAGTCCGTAACCCTAGAAAGAGAACTTCAATTTGATGTCTTCAGTTCTCAAACACAACAACTTAGAATAAACCAACCAACAATGTTGCTCCCTACTCTAACGACAGATAGCGTTCTTATTGAAATATAGACCTGAAAACCCTATACCAGCACCAGGTGAAATAAATGGAGAGATCTCGATCAAAGAGGAACTATTACTACGACCAAGATTACGAACCTCAAACCCTAGCAAGAACCAAAGCACGATACCACCACCACCACAAGGCAATCAATAATAACAGTCACCACCGACGCGGTGGCTCCGGTGGAGGTGGTGGTGGTCGATTATCTAAACCTCAGGATGCCTCGCTTAATGTGACCACCACGTATCGCATCCTCTGCCACGATATTAAGGCCGGTGGTGTGATTGGAAAATCCGGGAGCATCATCAAGACAATCCGGCAGGAGACCGGCGCGTGGATCAATGTTCACCCTTTAATTCCTGGAGACGAAGAGCGGATCATTGAGATCTCCGATTCCAGGCGGCGGGACCCCGATGGACGTATCCCGTCTTTCTCACCGGCGCAGGAGGCCCTGCTCATGATTCATGAAAGGATACTCGACAGTGATTCTGCATTTGGGTTTGGATGCGATGGAAGTGCCGGTGACGACGACGAAGATTATGGGCCAAGAGGTGGCGGTGGCAGCGGTGGCGGTAGGGTAGCGACCAGGCTTGTTGTGGCGAGGATGCATGTGGGGTGTTTGTTGGGAAAGGGTGGGAAGATCATTGAGCAAATGAGGGTAGAGACTAAGACTCAAATTAGGATCCTTCCAAGGGATCACAATCTGCCTCGGTGTGTATCCATGTCGGAGGAAATCGTTCAGGTAAAGCTCTCTTTTTAATGTACCATTTAGCTTATTTCTTGGTTTCCTTTAACTAATCATTGCATGTTGAAGCATTTGAGGTAATTACATGGTAAGATCATCTGCATAGGCTCAAAGGCGACTTTCTAAGTGGCTTTTATGTTCTAGCAGAGTAGATTGGATAAAGTTGAAGATTGTGATTTCAGTTTGGGATATAGTGTAATGAAACTCTTGAACTTCCACTTAGCTTTGCGTAGCTTGGGGTCAAGTGGGGTTGTTCTTTCATCTCAAACACAATGAAACAACTTCTCTTTTGTCTCTGACTGTAAGGACCTAGCTGAAAGTGAGTTCTCTATAGAAACCAGTCAAACCTGCATTTTGAAATAAAAATAAAGAAAAAAAAGGAGAAACCTTTCATGTTTCAGGAAAAAATGAAAATCAAACAAACCACTATTTGATGCTAAGGTGGAGGTGCAGTCAAACATTGAATAACAACATCCTTTCTATTGTCCATGTTCTAAAACAAGTGCAATACTACACAGCAAAATTGCTTGTTTGGATCTGTCATACTGAATCAGTCATGTGAATAAAGCCCATAAGCAGGTATTTATGGACTTCGGTTTTGTACTGTTAAAATCGGATTGACTTTACACATCTTCGATGTAAGCCTTCAACTTGTGATCTGTATTGAGGTATAAGCATCATTAATTTGGTTCCTTCACTTTGTAATAGAGTTTTGGAAACCTAAGCCTTAATTTAAGAGAGATGATTTGGATGACATGTCTCTTTTTTTGATAAACAAGGACATTCCTAGTAAAAAGTACAAAGAAACCACTGTTAGTAATGTTAGTCAAAACATGGGAGTGTTTTTATTTTTTAAAAGATGTACTTCTTGGGCAATACGGGTGTGGCTTCTTTACAACAAGTGAGATATGCCTGAACCACTCTCCTACTCAATCACTGCTCACTATAATTTTAAGTTTCAGTTGATATTAGCTTGAATTTTGATTCTTTGTGCAGACATGGAATTTTATTTTCAGTTTAGTGGAGCTTAATTATCTTTAGTGACTACTCACAAGTTACAAGTACCCAATCAATGTTTAGCTCTCAAATAAATATGTCAAAATATAATTTGATATCAAAATTCTCAATTATCATTGTCCCATCTATGGATCCATAAAGTGAAAATGAATTCTGCATTTGGGTTTTGGCTTCTACTATTTGTCAAACCTGTCCTCAAATCTTTCTTCTTAGTTGGGTCTTGGGTGGTGTATTTCATTGTATATGTAACAACGTCTAGTATCATAAACTCTTTGTTAATATGTGGGGAATCTCTCTCTCTCTCTCTGTCTTTTAGTTATCTTCTCTTCTTTATGTATGTTCTTAATTTGTCATTTTGATTTCTATCTATTTTGTTATAATATAGTTTCAATTACATGCAAGAATCCTCTTTTTTAGTTGTCTGTCTTGTTGTCTCTGTCTTTTTTAATTACAATGACTTAGTGGGTGAATCATATTTAGAAAGGCAAGCTAGTCATTCAGTTATAGAATCACCACTTGTTTTGTCAGGAAAATATTTCTAAAAATTTTAATGATTTTATTGAAATATCGGAAAGTATCAATGCTATTTTAAAATTTTAATTTTTTAAATATTAGATGTTTAATCTGTCATAACATTCAAAACATTCATAATATATCGACAATATATTGGCAATATGTGGGAAAAAAGATTCTTAGAAGGGGAGATTTCTCCAAATCTTGCTGATATTGTGAACAATGGTATTTATGTATACTGGTGATTTAACATGAAATTATCCTTTGATGTGATACAGCAATACAATATTTGGGTAGTCTGTCATCTTTGCCTGCACAGACACTAGTTCATATCAAAGTATCAAACATGTGATTTTTTATCCTTAATATCCTAGAAATTATTTAGTCAACGGTATTTTCCTATCAGGTAGTAGGTGATGTAAGTGCTGTAAAGAAAGCTATAACAATTATTTCATCACGCTTAAAGGAGAGCCAGCATCGTGATCGCAGCCACTTTCATGGACGATTACATTCACCAGAGCGTTTTTTCCCTCCTGATGAAGATTTTGATATGCCACACCGGCCATCTATAGAAGGGGGTTCATTAGGAACACGATCTTCTGTTGGTGCTTCCAGTGTTAGAAACAATTCCTATGCCTCACGTCCATCTGGCTACGCATTTGAAGCTGGAGCCAGTCCTTTAGCAGACAATATGCAGCCGTTAGAGGAGGTTGTGTTTCGAATACTTTGCCCAAATGACAAGGTCAACAATGTTATGGGAGAACCAGATGGTATAATAGAAATGCTTCAGGATGATATTGGTGTGGATGTCAGGGTTAGTGATCCTTTGCCTGGATCAAATGAGCAGATTATTGTTATTACTTCTGAGGAGGTATGTTTCCCTAATTTCGGCCTTCTAATACAATGCACACACATGGCAAAGGTGTATGTGAAGAAAAAGCAATTGATTCTCTATCATCATACAAGTAATGCATTAATGCACCTTTTGGAAGTTCACATCTGTCCCTTGTTTTTTTTTTTTCATTCATTTAGCTTTATTTGCTTTGACACTTTTTGTGAATATATCATGTCTAAATGATTGCATGGATGCTTTTGTTGATACAATTGTTCAACTTTCAGATTTTATGTAAGGTTTTATTTCTACAAACCATATGGCACAATGAGCATAAGTTTTGCATTACATTATGCATTATGATCTTTAGCTGTTATAAAATTTTATTAATTATATAGCAATTCATGAAATATTTTATATTTGAAGGAGAAATGTTTTCTAATCCCTTGACCACTATAAGTATGATAGCACCTAGTTTGAGTCTGAGACAACTGGTGGAAAATCTGTTTAAACCACTGTATGCAGCAACCAATCTCAAAAAAGAAAAGACCTTGCGAGTTGTGACATACATGAAGATAAGCTTTGCTTTGCCTTATGCATTATGATTTTTAACTGTTTTAAAATTTATAGTAATATAGTAGTTCATGAAATTTGTAGCCCCTTGAAAATATGGTAGAACCTAATCTTTCTTTGACAATTTGTAGCCCCTTCATCCATAGGTAATGTGGAAAATTTGTGGGAGGAGGGAAGGGTTGTGGATTTGTGGCTAGGAGCGGAATAAGTTTCACAAAAGGTTACTTGGATCGATGGGGATATTAAAGCAACTGAACAAAGAAGAGTTTGGGTTAGTAGAATAAAGGAAAGGAACATTCTAAAGGAAAATAGAGTTGGATGGAAAAGAAGTTGAAAGATTAACGAGTGAGGAGGAAAGGATCCAAAGATGGAGATTGAAGAAGGAATAGGAAGTCGTACTATGAATGGAGGGGACATGTTGGAGGCAAAAAATTGAGATGTAAGTGGTTATACTTATAGGAGGGAGATGGAAACACAAAGCTTTTCCATGGCACGGCAATTGGGAGAAGGAAAATTATATTTCAAGGCTGGTGGTAAATGGGAAGGTGCTTACACATGAAGAGTAAATATCTAAGGCCTTTGTGGATCATTTCAAATCTATTTATTTTTTACCTTAATAATGATGAGTGCTATAAACTGGCCTACAATTGTAAGGGCCTTAATATGCCTGACGTGCACACCTTTCTGAAGCAAGGACACTGGATATTTTAAAAAATTAAAGAACATATACATATATACATATTAATTGAAAAAACCCTGAATTTCAAATTTAATTAACTGATTTAAAAGGCCTACTAATATGTCAAATATGAAAGTGTTAATATCCAAATTGAGAACTACTAGCAGTCAGAGCAGAACTACTAGCAGCCCTACAAGGAGTGCAATTTGCAAATCAACTGGGTTTAGGGCAGCTTATTATTGAAGGGGATTCCAAGGTGGTGGTGGGGTGGTTGAAGAACCCTGAGGATACTATGTAGTGCTACAGGAATGAAGTAAAAAAATTTAAGTGGCTGACAAGGAATATGTCTTTTATTACATAATGGGTGGGGAGATCAGCAAATGCTTTGGCTGATGGCTTAGCTAAGCAATGGGCAAGTAGGGTAAGTCTTGTTTTGGGCTCAGCTCTAATGCTTGTTTTTTCTCTCTAGTTTCCTTGTAATCAGTTGAGAGAGGCTGCTGTCATGCCTCTACAAGGGCTGTTGTATGAGTTCAAAGTTTTCTTTTATCTTTTGATGCTCATCATCATCATCTTCAAGGTTCATTCAGGTCCTCATCATCTTCATCTCCACTTGGAAATTCAATTTGGAAGCAAGACACAAGTACATGACATATACAAGAATACTGAGTAGCAAATTCAATTCCAAATTCCTAATTCCAACATGTGTTTATTGAGTATTGTGTCAATTCATAATCACTATTAACAATTTAATAACAACAACAATTATTATTATTATTATTAATTTACTGAACATAACAAAGTAACAGATTACAAAGTGTAATATTTATAAAAAAATAGATTACAAAGTGTAAACTATAATTATTAACAGTTGATAATAACACAAATCATTTATTATTTACATTAATTACGAAGTAATTTCATGCAAAAACTGGCAAAGAAATGGGAAATAAAATAACTAGGCAAGTCTGCAAGTGTTCTATCTGAATGTGAATCCACAAATAAACTCTGTAACTATCACAGCTCACGAGATTAGCACTCAATAACAAATAATATAAACTATAATTTGGACTTCCTCAACTACCAGTGCACAAAGGGTGGGGGTGCTGATTTGGTGAATTTGCATTTACATGCAAAACATCAATTAGTATAAATAAAATATAAATAACTAATATGGGGCAGAAACCTTGTTTTTGCATCAAAAGGGAGGAAATTGGGTGGAGCCCCTGTTTTGGTTAAGAAGAAGAAGTGGTTGTACAGTTGCCTACGGATTGAATCAGTTCAGTCAGTTGTCACTGGTAGAGTATCTTCGTCATGTTCAAGGCTTCACTCTTGGATTGCTTCTTTACTCTTGTTCTATTGGTTGGTTTAGGGCTTCAAATTACTTTTACTAGATCAATTTTATCAAAAAATCGGAAAGGTAAAGCTAAAACAACTTTACTACAGAGTAAATATTGCATGGAAACATTACAAAATTATATAAGATACAATCTTATTAAGGTGCTCACCTCGGTTGCTGTGGTGAGTGCCTTTTCAATTTGCCTGTGCCTTGATACGAGTAAGGTGCACTACCTAAAAAGTGCCTCATCTCTGTGCTTAGGCATGCCTTTTTAAATCACTGCTTCTCACATCAATTTTTTCTTCTCTCTTTCTCTCACTTTTTATATCTTCACTTATTTGCTGTGACATACTTTTTAATATATCTCTTTTATTTTCAAGTTGGTATTTGAGAGTAGATCCAATTGATTGGCTGCTGTTGTGGTTCTCTTTAATTAGAGGATGTTGTCATTTTTTGCCTTGAACTTTTCTGCCCAGGGATTATGGATGTATACTTTCTGAAAATCTAGAAAAGTCAAATCTGGAGTGTTTTTTAATGCTACTTGGTGAGAGCGGAATGGACTGTTAAGCCATTAAAGTTTGACACATTTGATATCTTTTGGCTGCCAGAATCAAGTTTATTAGTGCCTCCTTTGGGTGAGATAGGAGGATAGTTTATTAATTCTTCTAGGTTGGTTGATTACTAGTTTTGGTGCTTGGTGATTATTTGTTGCCAAGACAACTGATTATGGAGTTTTTGTTGACAAGAACTGATTATGAAATGAGATCAACATCTAGTGAAGCTAGTTCTAGTATGATGTTTTTTCCCTGATTAGTTCTAGCATGGAGGGGTTAGGATAGCTATGGTGAATTGGTGATGCTCCAGACATCGAAATAGTGACTGATACTGGGTGGTATAAAACTATCTTGAATAGGTCCAATCTGCCAAGATGTATATTGATGAAAGGGGCAAATTGGGAAATAATTCAAGTCTGCACTTGTAGTAGTCTAGTAGATCTGCAGTATTCTAAGGGGTATTTCATCAATATGCATGATGATGTTTAAAAAGCAACTATCACACCAGAAAAAAACATTTTTTTTTCTGGTATGTTGGTGGTATTTATTTTAAAAGTAAAATCTTGCATTTGAGCAAACAATTTGTAAGTGGAACAAGAAAATTTGTCGATGTTGTGGCTTGTAAGCTCTATGCAATTACACATTACTAGGAATTATTTATTTTTGTTTACTGTTATGGATATTTGGCGTAAAGCGCCAAGCCTAGATGGTTTTCCAATGGCTTTTTATCAAGATTGTTGGGAGATAATCAAATTTGATTTGATGGTAGTGTTTGAGGAATTTGCTGAGGAACATTTTGTTAGCCTAGGAATTAATTCTACATTCCTGGCTTTAATACCCAAAAAGGGAGATGCCATACAGCTAAGAGATTTCAGACCCATTAGCTTGGTGACTAGCATTTATAAAATTTTGGCTAAAAGTGTTGTCGGTAAGATTAAGATTGGCCCTCTCATCAAAAAAGATTTAAGATTGGCCCTCTCAAACCTGCCAACTCATTCTCAAGGCGCCTTTTTTCAGCGGAGACATATTATTGACCAAATATTGATAGCTAATGAGTGTGTAGAAAACTTAAAGAGAAGGAGGAGGAAAGGTTTGTGTGTAAATTAGATTTGGAGAAAGCTTACAATATGGTGGATTGGGTCTTTCTTCTGGATATTTTGTAGTGTTATGGTTTCGGGGAAAGATGGTGCAACTGAATTGAAGGCTGTTTGAAAACTTGCCATTACTCAGTTTTGGTGAATGGGGTGGTAAGGGACTTTTCCTAGCTACTAGGGAATTAAGACAAGGGGACCCACTTTCCCCTTTCTCTTTACTCTAATTGTGAATGTGTTCAATAGACTTCTCTTTAGGGTAGATAGTTCTAATATGTTTAGAGGATGGAGGGTAGGCAGGAACAATGCATTACTAACACATTTGCTGTTAGCAGATGATATAATCATTTTCTGTAGGGGTTGGGAAACCTAGAGAAGCAAGGCAATTAATGAAGGTGGTTAACATTTCTAAGTTGAATATCAATTTTGAGAAGAGTTGTGTGGTTGGTATAAACCTTGAGTAGGAGTTGTTGACAATTGTAGCAGAGGCCCTAGGTTGCCGTACTACTTGTTGGCCTATAAGATATTTGGGTATGCTCCTGGGAGATAATCGAAGGAAAGCAGGTTTTGGAGTCTAGTAGTAGAGAACTGTTTTAAGAGATTGGTAGCTTGGAAGAGAAATTACATTTCTTTTGGGGGTAGAATGATTAAATTGGAGTTAGTGTGCAGAAGCAAAGAGCAAGGGGTTTAGGGATGGGTAATTTAGGGAAGAAGAATTTATCTTTGCTAGGTAAATGTCTCTTGAGATGGTCTTTGGAGGGGGGGGGGAGACTTTGGCAAGAGGTTATTGGCAATATTCATGGAAG